ATTATATAATTATGTATATGTTACGATAAGTGTAATTAAGGTAGTGTCTTCAAAATAATTCTACCCTTAACTACAGTTCATGAGGATTTCTATCCTTGGTCAAGGTAGTTGCTTTCATCGATCTATCTGAACTCCCCTTTTAAAATTGAAGGCTTTAGTAATTAGTGTCTTAATTGCATATGTCCTGTCTGAACTAATCTGAATGCAAAATCGTGATTAATGCAATAGTATATGATCTGGTTTTATAGGAGAAAATTGACATCATCCTAAAATAACATTTATCTTGTCTTAGTTTGTCTAAATGTGTGTGTAGACTGGGGGTATATGTACGTGATCTTTAGATGAATGAAATTTCCATACGAAAAACCAACGGAAAGACTATTTTTCGATTTTACAAAAATTGGGCAAGCACCACTGCTCGACTGTGGTGCACAACATGTAATCCGGCATGCCTGAAGAAATAAATGCCCATGGGTTTTGAAAAATTGAAAGTTTAAAAACAATTATATGAGATGATTTACGAGTCTAAAAATTTTATCAATAGGTCAACTATGGATTTGTTCAAAATATGGCGGCCAGATTTCGTTTGGACATGTTGGAAATGCATTCAGCAAGTAAGCCATAAGGAAAGCATAGAAGTGGAGCTTGGGTCAAAGAAAGTAAATGTGATGGATGTGTTTGAAATCAAATTGTTCGACAATAATCAAGAGAGGGACTTGCCTCCTTCTCCTTTTTCCTTCTCGGATATAGACTGGACAATATAAAGTTTTCAACGTACTTTGAATATTGTTTGTGACGTCAACCTGCTACTGCATGCACATTGAACCCCCTCCCCTCGTTTAATACGGCTTGAAATCAGTCAAAAAAACTGTATGTGTTTGTATGGATTATATGTTGTTTATTTATAGATTAAAAAATAATGTATTACATCATTAGTATATTGAGATACAAATGTCCCTCGAAAGTCTTTTTTTTTCAATAAGATGTAATATGTATGTTTTTTTCCTGTAAAAAATGTATATTGTATCAATTTATTTTTAGAGGAAATTAACCCTCTGATGTTCTGTTGTTTTCTATATATAATGTTTATTTTCTTACTGCAAATAATGACTGTAAAATCTAGTATGTTAAAGATGGTTGCTCTGGCTTTGAAATACTGAATGTGCAGTGAACCAATGTGAATTTAGAGAAAAAATTTACCCTGTAGACTTTTGCTATTTTCAAACTGTAAGTGTTAGAAGGTAGCACTGTATCAGTGATATTCTTTGGGAGGAAAGTTACTCCATAAACATGGTCAAATCAAAAAGCTATGTAAACGATGGTTGCTTTGGCTTTCAAATACTGAATGTACAATGCACCAATGTCATTTTTGAGAGGAAATTTACTCTGTAGATTTTGTTAACTTGAAAATGTTAACTTTTTGTAGATATGTGGAAAATTGTACATACGTATCAGTGCTATACTTGGGGGGGGGGGGGGGTATTTACTCCGTAAAGTTAAGCTGTCGAAAGGACCCAATATACACTGTATCAATGTCATGTTTGATAGGACACTTACTCTGTAGATTTTTGCTAATTTCAAATTTTAATTGTAGTAGTAAACACTGTACGAGTGATATTCTTTGGGAGGAAATTTACTCCGTAAAATGTACAAGCTATGTAAACGATGGGTGCGTTGGCTTTCAAATACTGAATGTACATTGCACCCATGTGAATTTACAGAGGAAATTTACTCTGTAGATTTTTATTACCAAGCTGTAATGTTAGTAGTGAACACTATATCAGTGAAATTCTTTGGGAGGAAAGTTTTGTTATATAAAGGCTATTTACTTTTGCATTGACTACTGTATGTTTACTGTATGAATGTCTTTTGAGAGTAAATTTACTATCTAGATTTTTGCTATTTTCAAATTGTAATGTAGTTGTGAACACTATATCAGTGATTTTTTTTGGGAGGAAATTTACACCGTAAAATCTAGCTGTGTGAACGATGGTTGCTTTGGCTTTGAAATACTGAATGTACAATGCACTGACGTGCATTTTGAGAGGAAATTTACTCTGTAGAGTTTTTTTCTATTTTAAAATGTAGTGGTGAACAATGTATCAGTGATATTCTTTGGGAGGAAATTTACTCCGTAAAATCTAGCTATGTAAACGATGGTTTCTTTGGCTTTGAAATACTGAATGTACAATGCACCGACGTGAATTTAGAGAGGAAATTTACTCTGTAGATTTTTGTTATTACCAAACTCTAGATTTTTGCTATTTACAAATTGTAATGTAGTTGTGAACACTATATCAGTGATAGTCTTTGGGAGGAAATTTACTCCGTAAACTCTAGCTGTGGAAACGATGGTTGCTTTGGCTTTAAAATACTGAATGTGTTATGAACCAATGTGAATTTAGAGAGGAAATTTACCCTGTAGATTTTTGCTATTTTCAAATTGTAATTGTAGTGGTGTGTATCAGTGATATTCTTTGGGAGGAAATTTACTCCGTAAAATCTAGCTATGTAAGTGATGGTTGCTTTGGCATTGAAATGCTGAATGTACAATGCATCAATGTGAATTTAGAGAGGAGGTTTACTCTCTAGATTTTTTGTTATTACCAAACTGCAATGTTAGTAGTTAACACTGCATCAGTGACATTCTTTGGGAGGAAATTTACCCCCTAAAATGGAGCTCTCTATTACACTGTATCATTGTCATTTTGAGAGGAAATTTACCCTGTAGATTTTTGCTTTTTTCAAACTGTAATGTTAGTAGTGAACACTGTACATGTATCAATGATATTCTTTGGGAGGAAATTTACCCCCTAAAATGTAGCTGTCTATTACACTGTATCAATGTCATTTTTGAGAGGAAATTTACTCTGTAGATTTTTGCCTTCTTCAATTTGTAATGTGGTAGTGAAAACTGTTTCAGTGGTATTCTTTGGGAGGAAATTTACTCCGTAAAATCTAGCTATGTAAACAATGGTTGCTTTGGCTTTGAAATACTGAATAAACAATGCACCAATGTGAATTTAGAGAGGAAATTTACTCTGTAGATTTTTGCTATTTCTAAATTGTAATTGTTGTAGTGAATACTGTATCAGTGATATTCTTTGGGAGGAAATTTACTCCGTAAAATCTTGTTATATCAAGGATAGTCGCTTCTGAATTGACTACTGTATGTTAACTGTACCAATGTCATTTTTGAGAGGAAACTTACCCTGTAGATTTTTGCCTTTTTCAAATTGTAATGTGGTAGTGAAAACTGTTTCAGTGATAGTTTTGGGGGGAAATTTACTCAGTAAAATCTAGATATGTGAACGATGGTTTGCGTTCATTAAACTTTTGATATTCGCACCAATAAATATCTTGTAAACTGTGTTATTTGTTGAGTTTTGTTAATACCTAAGGGCAAAATGCTTAAAACAGAAAAAAAGATTTTCTGTTTTGATTTTGGAATGCGTTTAATGTATAATACAGTTACTGTACTATAATCAAACATTATAATATGTGCAAAACGTGTGTTGTACTTTTTGTATAATTTGCCTTTAAGTGCCAAAAATTGGCTTTTTCCTATAATCCAATAGTAAATGTAAATGTATATGTATTTTGAGACGGTCCCTTAAAACCCCTGACGGTGGATTTTCCCCAAACTTTGCATATGCACTTAATGACAGACGAGACGTTGCTCATATATTTATTCTGTAAATGTTCTGAAAATAAGAAATATTTTAATTACATTCTAATTTTTAAACCAGTTTCTAATCCCTTTACAAATCTTAAAAATTAGATTTTGAAGGAGCATTGTTTCCTCACAAAAGGATTATTTAAGAAATACTACCCTTTATTATCTTGCACAAATGCCTGGTAATTAGGTACCTCAATTTTTTGTGAGTAAACATGTCAAAGTACTTCAGTTACAAATTCTTGGAAAAAAAATAAATATTATTGAGGAACATCTCATCTGTCCTTTAATAAATGTAAGCAACATGTTTTATTAGATTAATAAGTCTCTCTTTTGTAGTTTTCTCACAATAAAACCTCAGTCGGCCCCCTTATACGATATAATAAGCGAACCTATGATTAATCTAATAACAACAAATGTATAGACAATATCGACGGCATTTACAGAGTAATTAGGGGTTCATAAAAAATTAAAATGTCACCGGTCTGAATCGATTTATTTAACACACAACACACTAATGTCAAAAGAAATGAAACAGATCTCTTCAGGTTAGATTTTTCTTTTTTTATTATTTAAGGAATGAATTTAATAGCTACCCATTTTATACGGTATAAACTGGAAAGGGGAAGTTTACGCTTTATAAAAAAGCGTAAACTGTTCCAACCCATTTTATACCGTATAAAATGGGTAGCTATTAAATTCATTGCTTATAATTTGATTTTCATTCATTTGATGTAAGATATTAAAAGGTGATTGTTCTAACAGTATGACTTGAATTTGTACAAAGTTTGAATGTAACGTCAGGCGGATTGATACGTTTTTGACGCACGTCATTGTGACGTTGGCAACCCATTTTATACAATATAAAATATTTTTTATTCAATCAAATACATCGTTACAACCAGAATTAAATTATAAAATTTTCGAAGCATAACATAGTCGTTATAAGCACATTTATTTAATTTTTATATTATGAAAAGTTGTTGGTTATCGCTCTTTCCGTGATAACATTTGAAGAATTGTGGGTGCTTTTGTGTAAGATGGTTGGAAAATATGTGATCAAGCTTACATATTTTATTTTATTTTTAAATCAATAGGCCTTTACTGCAGTATATGTATATTTTTTATTGTAATGGAATCTTTAGGAGGCAGAAGATGTATTTACATTCGACTTTTGTTTTAATTTTAACTACTTTTTAAAATGTTCACCCATAAATTAAAATTAGAATAATGCATATAATTGATAACTTTATCCTATATTCCAAAAAACTTTTAATAAGTGCAGCACATAATATATATTTTAATTTCAATTTTTATCTTATATTTCAGGGATCTATATTTTACTTGGAGTCCTTCTTTTTGGATGTTTCACTAATAACCCCCTGGCTTTTAATGCAGAATGTAAGATTTTTATACATTAAAACTTGGTTATAACGAAGTCGCTGGGACATGTGAAATTACTTCGCTATATCCATAATTCATTATAACCGTTTGAGAAATTCATAAACTTTATATAGCTGTTCGTACTAAACCAGTTTTACTGTATTTATTTCACTTTTGTTAAAATTAAGCTACTGGCAAGCTGATTTAGAGGTTTTTGTTGACCCAATGTATGCAAAGATCAGTAGAAAAGGCAATAGGCATGGTACTTTTAGAAGAAAGTGCGAGACCATATAGAAAGTTATAGTATTGAATTGAATTAATCAAAAATTCATTATTATTCATAGGTCGGAGAAAGAATCGATACCGTGGACAAGTACTTAAGGATAGATACGTTAGGAACGTATACGTGAGGAATGTTGTTGATATCTACACATTCCATCTTTCCTTGTTACTTGTCAAGATCACGCCATATTGCAGAATGCTTACAATTTTACTGAACAGTCCGAATTGGTCAATAAATAATGTTCTCGGTGCTCAGAAAGACGCAAAAGACACTCTTAATGATTTAGTATTAATAATTTAACTTAATATTCTCTTTCAAATAAAACATATGTCGATGAAAAAATTTATCAAACTTCTGATTGTTTTTAGAACTCATTTTTCGGTTTGACCCTAGGTATCCTGGAAAATGGCAGATCTTGTATACTGAAAGAAATAAGAAACGCATATTAAACTTTTGAGTTAAATTAAAACAATTATTTCAAATATGTGTTCCAGCATTCTTATCATACATTTTAATTCATTTTTAATCAACAAGTTACCAAAATTTTACGTGATTTTGAATGAAAAAAAAACAACTAAAAATTCTCATAATCTTCCTTTCGCATTATTAACAAACTTGATTTTCCTGAACATTGAGTTCACCAGAGCATTTATCTTTTTCTGATCATTATTATTTAACCCTTCTGACGGTAGCCTTAATGGCTGAGATTAGCTGTATTGTTCCAAAGCCAACAAATACCCCCGCCCAATCGAATCCTACGAATTTTCAATTTAGGATAGAATTTACAGAACCTAGCAGGTTTGGTACACGTGGATGTTTGTAAAAAATTTCGACAAACACTAGCTAAATTTTTCCAGTGTAAACATGCTAAAAAAAATTACACATACGACGCGTACGTGCGAGTTTGAGAGTAAAATCGACGTAAAATGGCCAAGCATGCGGCCCAAATTGGAGCAGAGGGTTTCTGTCCATTTAGGGTGAAAAATATTAGTATGATTGTCTGCTGTATAAATATCAGTTTCAGTGATAATGCCTTGACAATAACCGAGGTGGCATGATGAAAGGTCCTATCTTGTTGTGATGTTGTTACGCGCCAACGTCACCGTCATGGTTGGTTGGAAACATTGTAAGTTAACTCTTTGACAACCAAAAAAACTTTTATTTGGTTGAAAAGTTGAAAACAATCTGTACAGCAGCATGTTTTTGCCTTTTTATTCACTTATGCAATATTGTATTCAATCCACAGTACATTCTGTCAGCCATACCACGATTGCAAGAAGTTTATACGGACTGCAAATATGAAAATGATGTCTGTAACTCTACTGCATCGTATGGCACTACAAAATTTTATCACAAAATTAATACCATCATCAACATGCACGTGTTTTTGACTTTTTATCATTTCCTCTACATGACGCCATACATTTCATGGTTGAGTTGTTTTGACTAGCGATTTTAGTGCAAAGTAACCAAAATCCACATCTGACCAATTTTCATAATTTTCGGTCAAATAGTCAAAAATTTTCCCATATTATGTTCTTTTGCGTTTCTTTTTCCTTTAGTATATTTTTCTGGACTAGTTTCTTCGTTGTGAAAGTTGTTTTTTCAAGTTTGGAAAATGGAAACCTCTTCATGGCGTGCGGGTTTGGACGCTATCATGAAGAAATTAAATGTAGTGGATTAATAATTCTGGTTCCTTCCTATTATTGACCTTTCGATTATTTTGGCAATAAATTTTCTTTGTAGACTCTTCCAGAAATTAAACTGCCTCCCCGAATACGATTTTTAACAACAAGATCACTAATATCTAAAAGAACAGTGCATATAAAACTGTCTTTGTGCTCTTGGAATTCTTTGCTCTTCTCCGACATTTTCTGTTTTGGTCAAGTACTTCTTATTGTAAATTTTATTTCGAAGGTTTTAAGCAATAGATTGAAGTTTCCTTATCTGTTTGAATTGCAAAGAAACTTGGATAACTTCCTTTTTTAGAATAATTGTTTAGATATTCTTACACGCCGTCGTTTTCACTCATTTTTGAAAACATAGTGTGACCTTTGAGTACTAAGCCTTATTACTATCAAACTTTTCTTTAAAAGAGTACATCACCAGTAATTATTTCTTAACAATTGGCAAACAGTACATCATGAGTTGTTATAATATTTGATTGTAAGGACGGTACCCACTTTTTTATCATTTAAATCCACCTGCCCATTTGTCTATAAAACAGACATTAGTTGCCGTAAATGTAACATATTTCAGTGAATATTTCTTTGGGATTCTTTACGAGTTTTTCAGGAGCTTGAATGAAGCGTTTAATTTCACTTTTGTTTACTGATTCTTTACCATTCATTTTACACGCAGGGTCTCGAATAGCCATTGTTTTCCAGCTTCTCACAATGAAACTTGTCACATAAACATTATTTATTGAACAGCCCTAGTAAATTTATTGGTGAATTATGTCTGACATCATCATAGAACGTTATAAAAGCTTGGTACAAATTTGCAGAAAAATCCATTTAGCCAAAATGACAAAATGTCCAAAAATACTAACGTCCGTCGTTTACAATGTTACAAGTTACGCAATGTAAAACCACAATGCATTGCGCTACGTCAGAATGTGTAAATTTACGTCCTTGACCCTTTTGGTCTCAAAAGACATACATGTAGTGGTATTTCTTAGGCTACCGGTAGTTATGGAATGAAATTTGACTTAAAAACTCAAAGATTCTCGAGACATCGCGTGAAAACGAAACTTTGAAAAGTGAAAGAAAATATTTTAACAATAAAATGTCTTTCTTTGGTAGAAAAAATACATAACCCATGTAAGCAGGTTATGAATTTTTTTCTGCAGTAGCTGCGACATTCATTCCCGTACTAACAACCAAGAAAGATATTTTATTGTTTACATTTTTATCTGTGTAAATAATCATTTAAAGTACGAAAGAAAAGATTAAATATTGTGTTTATGATGCGACTGATCAAGAAATCTGTACAGCTGCCTAGTGTAGTTCATCCACTAATTAACGCAATGGATTTTCTTAAGAAATGAAGTGGATGTAAATATATACTCATGACCATTAAACTTCTTACCACTAAATCAATTTAGAGTGTTTTCTTATGACATATTTCGATTTGGAGTTTTTCCAATTGGCCACCATTTTGTAGGGTAAAGTTGAGAATTTTCCTCTTTGGGCAACGGATTTTAAAAATACTTGGCAGAAATATATCGGGTTAAATATTTACAATCAATAAAAAAAGGCTTTTTCAAACCTTTATTCATAAAAAACAGCTTTATCTTTACCTTAGTACCCATTCTAACAAATTGAACTTGATTAAAAATGAAGCATTCTGGGAATGTTGCCCTACAATATAGCAGGCATGGGGAAATACTCCTCAATTGAAAAAGATCTATACAGATAGACAGACGGGCATACATCGTAACCAACACACGGCACAACCTACGACATGTGGTTAACATACTCTTGTTGAAATTGCATCTCTTAGCATTTTAATATTTTAATCAAATAAGCATTTTCTTTTTAAAACATATCAATGCATTTTCTTTTATTTCTGATAAAAAGTTTGATTTGTTTTCTAGTGACAGTTGTCAGCTGCACGATGGACACGCTTGTTGTCAGGGTAACAAACGCCTCAAGCACTGGGATCATCTACGTTCTTGGTCAAGGCGACGCTTGTCGACTAGAAACCTCTCCACATAAAGTTTTGTACCAGTTTGATTTCGCCCTATGTGGCATATCTTGGGTAGGAAGTGATAAATCTCATTATCATTGATCAATTGAGCTAACAGTCATGGGCATTGGTAGCAACATAGGGGGCAGAATTCATTCAACACTGTCATGTGCATTGGTAGTAAAAACAGGGGGCTGAAGGCAACTCCACTACTTGTCAAATGTATGAATTATGCCAACTTGTAATATCATTCATGTATTCTCGTGTTTTAGAATGAAGGTAAAAACATGTCCTTGCCAAGATAGTGTTCGGCCAAATATTCAATTTCTTTTCATTTTTTTTCTGATGTGTGAGGACTTTAATTCGCTAGAAGTCGACATAAACATTTGATATCAAAAATTTCCCCTTAAACAGTACATAAGTGAAAGAAGAAATAGGTTACATATGTCACAAAATACCTCTTTATCTGCATAAAACTTAGATTTTCTCGAACGAATGTCATGTTTTTTCTACTTTAAGATAACAATGAATTTTCTCATTTGTTATACTGTAGATCACTAAATTTTCGCGACACCTTATTTTCGCGAGATTGTCATTGACTCTTTGTAAGCGAAACATGATTTTCACGAATTGATGTTGTTTTCGTTCGGTTTCTTTTTCCCTATTATTATTTTTTTTTTCTTACCGATTTTGTGCAAGCGAGTTCTCGGAAACGGTTTGGTCGACTTTTTCAGATCTGATACATATTGGTCTGAATCTTATTGGAAATTTTTTATATGTACGTCGTCACTTCCGGTCGTAAGATATGGACGATTTTCAGAGGGTCAGCTTGTCCTGGCAATCACTCCAAAACAAATGAAGATATTGACTTGAGATTTTCAGTGAAGGTAGAGGAAGGATTGCTAAATTGCTTTTTTTTTGAGTCTATATCTTTCCAGCGAAAAAAGATTTGAAGATCGCAAGAGCTCGAAAAATAGGCTCGGAAATATCTCGCAAATTTTAAAGTTTTCTCTAATATCTTTATACCTGTCAATAATTTGTTAATAGATATAAAATAAAAGTTGTGCAGAATTTAATTTTCTTTCCTTTTATATCAAGAAAAGGGGTGTGACCCCTCAAATAAAGGACAAAGAGGGGCCAAAAGACTTCCATCTATAACTCTTTATTTATCAATTTTTGTATATAAATTACTGATGCAAAAATGTTCATCGTAATAATCTTCAACAATATATTAAGAAGGTATGATCATACGTTACTACATAAAGGGCCATGAGGGACCAAGATGCTAAATCTTTAATTCTTTCTATCTCCGAAGGGAAAATATTTTGATAAGGAGTGTTGCATAAAATATCTTTAGAATCGTATTCCAATTCTTGCAAAACAGCCCCATTGAGGACTTGAAGAGCTGTCCCCTATTATCTATTCTGCATAGCTCGAAAACGAAAAGAAATATCTGAATAGTTGTTGAACAAAAATCTTGAAAGTTACAAGCCTTATCATTTGAAATGGAGCAAAATGGGCTGACCCCTCATATAACGGGCCCAGAGGATCCAACTAGATTTTCAACTAGAACTCATTGATGATATTATCTAAATCAAAAGAATTTGATCAAAAGAGAGTAAGCATGATTTCATTTTGTTTTATCAAAGATCATGGTCAAAATCATATCTCATCTTATCGAAAATTCGGACGGAAGACCTACTCTTTGCTCGCAACGAGATCGTTTCTACTTTTTCTATATAATTGTAAGGAATACTTTTGTACGCGAGAATTAAATTTTCGCGAACGCACTGTCTCGCGTAATTACGCGAAAATTAAGTTCTCGCGAATAAAAAGTGTTTTACAGTACTAGGATATGGTACAGGGTTAATTATGTTTTTAGAAATATATCGTTTTTAAATCCATCCATTTTACATTATTGCTTCAGTAAACCTCTGAATACTACCGTCCCATTCCTTGTCTTTGTCACCGGTTTCAGAGATGCTTAAAAGTCGTCAATATATCGGATCTCAGTAGCTTATTTGGTTTCAACCGGAACTCGAACCCAGGGCCTCTAGCACACCGTGCCAGCGCTCTAACCACTGAGCTATATTGACTGACTTTCACGCACGTGTGAACCCGGTGACACATTCATTCCCTTTTCTACATTTTATGAATCAAGACTAACCTAGTTTGCTTTCTTCATACTGTATTTTCCTCCCTCTCTCATTTCCAAGCAACTGGTACTGCGGATCATTATACAGAAGGAGAAGAACTACCAGACAGGAGCGGACAAGAAGATCCCGGTGTTGTGTGTGGCCGATACCAGTGACATCGTGGCATCCAACCTACTGGGCGCGTAAGTACCCTAATTTTCCATTATTTATACACTGAATTGACGACGGACGATGGGTGTGACAGATCAGCAGGGTGTGCTAACTCTTCCATGGCACCTGATCCAATTCTGATGTTTCGGGGGTCGTGTTTTTTCTGCTCTTAATTTGCTTTGTTTTATGGACTTTGAGATGGAATACTTTTCGTTATCTCAATATCCTTCTTGGTATGAGAATAGGACCGAAAGTACCGTAAACTGTAGATATATGAATAGGCGCGAAAGTAGCGTATTTTGTAGATACTAATATGTGAATAGGGAGCATAAACTGTAGTTTTGTGATAGGGTTCGGTTCTTAAAAAGGGAGGGGGCATGCTAGATTTTAGCATTAGAAATATATTCATGCATCTTCGCTAGCCAAGGATTTCTCACCGTTTCTGATACGCTCCTCTCCTCATAAACCCTTGGCATACGGTGAAGTCAAAAGACGGGATTGTTTTCCGTCACGTGATATCGAATCTATCAGGTACGCACAGATTGCGTCATCGCCAGAAATAAAGACACGTGATAAAAAAAAATTAATCTAAGTTTTTTCAAGAATAATTAAGAAGCAATAAATGATTTTTGTTTATTCATTATTTATAGAACAAATCTGAAGCTTCAATATAGATTCATCATCACATATCTAGAAGATATTGGATGACACCATGGCTATTCATAGAATTGAATTTTATCTTACGGATCGTTGTTTACTTGCGCTTTTCATTTCCAGGGTTGAAGAGTGAAGATAAATCCCGAACGCAAATATCGCCATTTGCAAAAAACAATTTCTGTTTTGTCGACCTGGATGTACTGAAATCCAATCAGAACTGTGGAAAAAAAATCCCTTTTTCTATGAATACCGTAGGCCAAGCGTTTATGAGGAGAGTAGCGTATCAGAAACCCTTGGCTTGGCTAGCGAAAATGATATTCATGCAACATTATACGTAGCGAAAAGTGAGATACTGCCTTTTTGAACTTAATAAGTGTCGCCCGCATGGCACAGTGGATAGAGCGTCTGCTCTAGAGTCGGGAAGTAAGGAGTTTACTCCTACGTCGCAGGTAGATCAAATCCCACTATGGGACATGGAGACCGGTCCTTCGGATGAGAGCGTATAGACGGATGTCTCATATCGCAGTGGGTGCTGACACTAAAAAGATCACAATTGCCTGAACGTTTAGGAAAAATTTTGCAGCTCCCCACCGGAAAGTATAGTGACGTCTGAATATGAGTGAAAACTTTTCGAGGGAGACATTAAAGAAGTCAACATACAATCAATCAATCACATTAATTATTTTAAGTCAATATTCACCAAATGGATTCTAATCTATACGGATATCAGAAACATGTATATATACATGTATATATAAATATATATATATATATATATATATATATATATATATATATATATATATATATATATATATATATATATATATATATAGTTATAAGTATTCATAAATAAAGTAAATATGAATGTAAATTCGACACAGTGTTTTTTTGTTCTTTCTCTGTGTAGTCTATGTTTGTACTTTCTCTTTTACTTTCTTTTTGTACTTTCATTCTAGTGACACAGTTGACAGCGCCGGTCTCAATGTCACGGTGCGTCCAAGTGCCGGAATGAAATTCTTCAAGGCCGTGTCGGGGGTGGAAGTCAGCGGACACGAGGTCAAACTATCGGACCGTGTATTTATGACCTTGAAATTAGATGCTGAGTACCAAGGTTAGGGTAACTGCATAATGAAATATATGAACTTTTATTTGACATTGGGTAAAAAGCCAACTTCAATCGATAATTTATTAAAAATATAATTATATAGACCTTAAAAACTGTCAAGGCTCTTGGAAAAACATACACAACTTGTTGTAAAAATCACTTTTATCTAAATATGATGAAAGAATCAGAAAGATTTTTTATTCAACTTAAATTAAAAAAGAAATCATGCTACATTCTCTTCCAGAGTAAAAATATTCAATCTTTAACTTTTAGAAGAGTTCAAGTTAAATAATTCTTGAATTAAAAAAAATGTTGAGCTTTATTGAGATATATATAAAATTAATGCGATTTTTTAACTTTAAGATGACTTCGACATAAAGGCGAAGTACTGCGCAGCCGGAAGTATCATTATAATTGACAACTTGTAAGTGAAAAATGTTACAACAATGGAACTGAATTGATACATTTTATCCAAAATATATTTTTATATAATAAAAATTTTATACAAATAATGATTTTAGCTGCTCTATTGATCCGAGTCTTTTCCCGAACTTTTGGAGAATGAGGCGGGGTTTTCTAATCTCCGAGTTTGGAGCCTTTCGGGAGACATCGTTACAAGGTGGTGTAGTCACAATGAACTTCACATGTGTTCTGGAACTGTGCAAAGATTACTGCAACCCGGTAAGTAATATATTATATTTTATTGTTATCTAATTTCTTTCAATTGTATGTTAGTTATGACCTAGCAACCTAGTACTCATGAATAAACTCTAATAATAAATCCAAGATGGACAGTTCAGAGCCACAACTTTTAACAAAAATCGGTTTTATGGTTGTATGTATGTCCCAGGAGCTTGTAAAAATTTTTTCGCCTGATTTTTTCAATGCTTAACCCCCATCCCCGCAATCACGCATTTTAACGCATATACCGTTGCCCCGCAATCACGCATTTTAACGCATATACCTTTGCCCCGCAATCACGCACTTTAACGCACTTTTCGTTTTTGGCGTTTTCTGCTCTCATAGCGCGTAAAGTTTTGATGGTATGACAATAAATGATTAGATTATAAATTTTGTAATTCTATTCTAATATCTTTCGCAAATAATAATATTTTTCCTCAATTTAATATTCCCGAATCGTTCGATTTATTTGACAAAACTTGGAATGCAAGACAAATTAAAGTCTTTCTTAAGACGCTAAATAAGCTCACCACTTGTTTTGGTGATGTGAAAATCACTCAATCTTGTGTGAGATGGGGCCCTTCATTCAAAATTTATCGAATTTGACAATGGAACTTATAAAATTACAAAAGAATTTTTAAGTTTATACATACTCATTCAAGAGTACAGAAAAGATGTTTGTTCGTAGAATGTAGGTTTGTTCCAGTTTATATCTAATCTTATGTTATGTAGTTTCATTTTGTCCTATTTCTTGTTCTATTTGAATTCAAATTCGTAAAACCTGATTATTTTCCTACCATACACATGTTACACAGCAATAAAAAAAATACACATACACAAATAAGGAACAGAATAAAGAAACGACAATATCTTGTTGAAAAAGAGGTTGATGTAAATTTGAATGTTTTCATTATCAAGTCAACGTTTCCGATATTGTTAAAAAAAAGTGTCGCACTTACTCGATCGTGTGTCTTCATTTCTAAACATATACGTATACATGAAACAAGGTACATGTATTCGGGAAAATTTTAAAGTATACTTAAAACTTGTTTTATATATTTTTTTTATAAAGGCAGAACGAACAAGAAGTCTGTGAGTCAATGCTCGCCAATAATGCCCCACTCTGATGTGAATTTACACAAGTTCAGTTACAGGCAGATGCACGGAAAAAATATGAAGTTGTTATCAGATTCATATACAAAAAAAATCCCACTATATGACATGTCTCAACAAAGATTGTGCTAAAATTTATAGAATCTGCGATGAGTATTTGCTTTAAAAAATGCGATAAAAAATTGTTAAATGTATGTTTGGTACGGACAGATGCACGGTAATACAGGAAGTTGACATCGGATTTGAACAAAAATGAAACCACCATAACTTTGTTACGGACAGACACACAGCTAGACAGACGGAAAAACACACAAGGGTAGAACAGTATATACCCGGTCTCGTTCTCAGCGGGGGTATGGTTAAAAAACCTATGTCTACCCATTAGTTTTATCAGTGGGTATATAGTCCCTTATAGGAATATATCCGCCTCGAGTACGTTCATATCGACAGTATATTATTTGAAAATATTCACTTATCAGTCGCTTTCACATGTTTAAGAAAACATATATACTCATGTATGTCAACACTGCATACTTTAAAAAAAATAAGTTTTGAAAAATCTTGATTGGCGAAGTAAACTTTCAAAAAGAGGACGGCGATGTGGTCTGCTTGGATTCTTCAACCAGCTATATGTTTATGTTATACACAGAAAATACTTTTGACAGATACTTGTGTATGGACAGTTAAATGTACCATGTACATGTAGATACATTAATGAGGAGCAATGCATTTGGACGGTTACAACTTCATTCTTTCGGGGTGTGTGTGTGTGTGTGGGGGGGGGGGGGGTGTTACACATCTTTGACCAACAGCGATCTAAATTATTCTCCGCATTTCATCTCCGGAATTACATGTACATTATTACATTTAGAATTTCCGGCATTTTTTTTTCGATCAACGGCTAGCTTCGAAAAATTGTGGAAATACTTTCTATATTTCTCAATAAATACAGCTACAATTAATGCATTTTCATAAAAACATGTTAAAGAGTACTGCCTCATTTGCTCCACAAATAATCGGAATACTTATAAGACAACATCGGGAAAATGTCGAGTACTGAGCTTCGTCCGAGAAGTTCTCGGACTCGTTTGTAAACTATTCTATTGTTTTTTTTAAATGTGTAAAAATTCTTTTCGATGTTTTTCTTTCTTCTTTTATTTATTTATTGCAAATTCGCAAACAGCCCGTATCTTCCAAGTTTTTCCTTATTGTTTAACGTGTTGATTTTTTAGTAGCCCACATGTACCTGTAGGTGTAAAGATTCTGCAATCTTCGCTATAGCCAAGGGATTCCGATACGCTTTACATCTCCACCATGCACAAGAGTAGAGTTTGGATCGGAAACCCTTGGCTAGCAAGGTTTAGACATATATTGCAAATTTAAGACTGATTATTTTAATACCGAGTTCCATGGCAGTATTTTATCCGTATATCAGCCAAATTTAAATATCAACTGAATAACAAGATGTGAACAGTTCAATTTTATTACATGTATTTTGAAAATTAAAATGTTTTCCATCGTCAATGTGCTATAGTATTGTTCAATAGAAATCAAGCGTTATTCCAATATTCAAACAATATCTATAAATAAAAAAAACCCTCTCGAACAAATGTGCTGAAAGCTATATATCCTTTTTGTCCTAAAAAATATATTAAAAATGTGTTATATTTTTTCTCAAGTGATAATCCTATTCTACTAGACCTCATTTCTATTTTTATTTATAATTGAAAGAGTCTGCAAGTTTCGATAAAATGGTAATGCATTTGACTGATGAAATACAAACAATGGAAAGATTCTGCAAGTTTCGATAAAATGGTAATGCATGTGACTGAAGAAATAATAGGGGGGGGGGGGGTCGCTGTCTGTCATTTTCACTGGAGCATAAAAATGACGCCCTGAATGGAACTCAATAAATTATTTTGAACGAAGTTTTCGATTTAGATTTAAAATTCATTTAATAAATTACCTGTAAACTATCATAATGTATCAAGTCTGTAAAAGTCCACATAAAAGAATTATTTAAACAAAATAAACAGGATTAAATCATCATCAAATACTTTAATTCATTTTACAGATGATTGTATAAATATCAGGGCGATATATACGGCAATAGTTGCTAATTATAGACCGTGTAAATGCATCCTCAAAAACACGTCTTTTCAGCACATAATCGCAAGTGCGCTGCGGGGAAAGGGATAACGTCATCAAAAAGTAACAAATGTAATGCTACTATTACGTCACAGACAGCGCAAGGGGCAAAGAGTCTGGTCTAGAGTCGCGAAGTAAGGAATTGATCCTGGGGTTTCAATCCCACTGCGAGACATGGAGAACGGTCCATTGAATTATACCGTATAAACCTAGGTCCCGTGTCGCAGTAGGTGCTGGCAAGAAAAAAGATCCTTCACTGATCAATTGCCGAAAGTACCAACGGCAAGTAGCCGTGTCTCCATATGAGAGAAAAATTCCTGAGAGAACCTAGAACAATTAGATATAATCAATCAATCTAAAAATGCCCTTATAAAATTTTGAGAAAATTTTTTTGAATACATTTTCAAATTCACCAAATATGTGAAAAAATATTTTCTGTAATTTACAAGTCATTATGTGGTGATGTGTACGATGGGTGGGGTAGAAAAAGACGGGGAACAAAAGAAGCAGGAAGTCATCTGGGATACATTATTACTTCTGGTTCATCACGTGAGTACCAGCGCAGCCGGAAGAAGAGACAATCAAGACGCAGAGATGACGATATCAACGTCGGGGCAAGAATTGATATCGTGGACAAATACTCCAGGATAAGTGAGGGACATTTTTGATATATGCACAAATTAACATTTTTTTTAATTCTTAGAATTTGTAGGAAAAACTGTAAAATTCTATTACTCGAGTAATAATTCTGTTGACATCTTTGGTATCAATTCTGATAGATAACTAAACTATTCAAATTTCCTGTGAGATATAAACGGTTTCGATTTTTCCTAATAAATCTAGATGGCCGTCTTAATACCAATTTTTCACTATTAAACTGGCTGACATTTTAATTCGGCGTGGTTATTTTTTCCATTTTAGAGGTTATAACCAATGATGATTTCTGCTGGCAGATCTCCTCCTTCGTTTTCCTTAACGTTGGGCTCGGGCTCTGTTTGTTGGCTACCTCTGGCGGATGCATGTACCTGAGCTTCCGCATATCAGTTTACAAGAACATCATCCAGAACCTCAAAGCCAGTATGAATGGATTTTCGGCACGTGATGTGTTGGATCTAAAACGAGGTCATAGCATTCGGGGGAATACATGTTGAGGCTAAGAAAAATGAAGTTTTCATTTCTTGATCAAAAATTTATCTTCGTTTTCTGCTTTTGAATTCTTCTCTTTATTTCCTTTATGGTACTGTAAATGCATTTTACTTGGCATAGGTGTTTGCATATATTTAATTAAGCGCGTTGTGGATGCTATATATATGAAAACATGTATATGTAAACAAAAGATTTAGCGTTGTTATCGATTTAGCGGAAGATGTTTCTTGATAAGATGCGCTAAATGGAATGCACGACCAAACGTAATACGTTTACAGTACAGTACCTCCTAAATAACCATAATCGTTATTTTTCAATAACAAGTTGCTACTAGGATAACCATCCCATCGTAAGAAATCAGTGGTGGATCTAGCAGATGGATGGTTAACCGGGTATTTCGAACCCATTCCATTTTTTTTTTTTTAGAATTTTTCCTTTTTATTTCTCTATATAGAAGTAACAAAATGGCGTCATTTTTTAAATAAACATGATTTCTTCGTTTTATTTGAGGCAAAGTGTTAAGTCAGATATATGTAGAAAAAGATGACTATGAAGTTACCATCCTTGATTTGATATTTTATCTGCAACTAACCCTGTTGGTGGTATAACCTTGGGTAACAAAAATACAAAAAAAAGTCTTTGATCAGTTTATGAGAGATTTTTACAGAATGCATTGATGGGTAACAAAGAATTCTGAATACTGTTGACAGCAAAATTGATGTCTCATCCGTGCATGGGTTCTGTAAGCAAACCAAAAAAATAAATAAGAAAACATTATTAATAAAATACAAGAAGTTAATGTTAAATGAAATCGATATATGGATTTGAAATTCTTGTTTATGATAAATTACAATTATTTTGACTTAAGATTTATGACAAACTTAAGAGATTTTTTATCTAAAACATGCAAATTTTAAGCATTCACAGATCAGCAATTTCTTTAATTATTGTTATACTTACATGTTTTTTTGGATGACTTACATACGTATCTTTATGCTACATGATACCTAGGAGAAAATAACTAACACTTACCACTCTCACACATACACAGTCGACAGTGTGCAACATCATACTTTATACAATGAGGGTGACAGTTAGGGGGAAGAGGTTTACACTGGGCTCCTTTGAAAGAAATACAAAATCAAAGTAATAAAAGTACTGTGAACAGGTTTATTTCCTGATGAAAGGGGACTAAATCATAATTTATGCAGTTAGAATTGTAACAAATTCATGTAGTCTGTAAAATGGAATACTTTTATAAATATGAAAGAAGGGGAAAATGCAAGCATCACGCCAAAAAAACATGCATTATTTTTCTGTATTTTGAAATCATGTCATAAACTAGAGCAACAAGGGAAAAAATAAACATTCATTATTACAATCAGAAATGCTTTAAAATATACATATACAATTGTTACCTCCGCCGCTTCCGCCGGCTGCCATTCCTCCTGCCGACATACCGCCGCCTCCTGCCGACATGACACCACCTCCAGCTGATAGACCACCGGATCCGCCACCAAATCCACCACTGCCACCGGCGGCTCCGCCAGAGCTACCTCCACTAGATCCGCCCACAGCCACGTATGTTCCTGGAAAAATATAATTTGTTTTTAATTGTCAAGTTCCAACTTAATGATTCCTTAGACAGGCTTTACATGTACTACATATTAGTATTTATGAAAATTAACAAAAAACAAAAGGTTCATGTTCTGTGGATAAGGCATTTAAACAAATGATACTGTTGTAAACTGTTACTGTTTAACTGAATGATTTGCGTATCAGGATGTAAGTAATATTACTCTTCTTAAAATTTTAGTTCTTATTCTATGGATATTCTAGGCAAATCCACTTTACCAAAAAATTATTAAAACTGGAGAATGAAAATAATTAATTATTCGACAAGGTTTTTATCTACGAAGAATATGTTTGTGGTACCTGTGTGGTGTCCGCAGTTTTCCGTACATTCGGAGGTCTTCTGGACCACCACAACTGGTTTCTTTTCACAGTTGTGGCATTCATCCACTTTCTGCACTACGATGGGATGAGTTTCACACGTGGTGCATTTCGCTTCACATCTACAAGCAGGACAACCGTCGTGACCCTTCTCTCCCAGTGTGTATCCATGGTCGCATGATGTCATACAAGAAATTGTTGCGTCACATGTTTTTACTGCGACCGCTGTTGGTTTTTCACACCCCGTTTTGCAACTGTCAGCTTGAAAAAAAAATTCAGCGTTTAAGAAACAAGATATTATTTTTAGAGTTTCATTGGAATATGACATGAAGTCGGTCACGTGATCGAATTCTATAACGCCCGAAGGGAGTTATAGTATATTTGATCACGTGCCAACTTTATGTCATTCCCAATGAAACTCTGAAAAAATATTTTATTTCTTACATTTATATTTTCAATTTTTATTCGTGTGACAAGGAAAAATAGACACTATTTACACTTTGTCATGGAATGCACTATAACGTGTTTACGACGTCATGTGACTTCCTCATAGCTCGTGCATTTTGCTTTACTGCATGTGCAAGAAAATCTTATCATGTCACCAACTGCATGTCATTGAAAATTGAATTTCAACTCATAATCAATATTAAATAAGGAAATACACCATTAAATCTAAATATTATTAAGTGAACCCATTTGTACATATTTAACGAAAAATCAAGTGTTTCTCATACTTTTCTGGATCTTAGCGCATGAACAGCTGGGGCATCCCTGAGCATCAGTTCCACCAAGTGTGTATCCTTCTTTGCATGACGTCATACAGTTCATTGTAGCTGGGCAATGCGCCAGAATGGCGTGGGCGTCTATATGTGTGGGCTGCGGCTGTGGTTGTGGCTGAGGCTGGCGTTGAGGCTGAGGCTGAGGTTTGGAAACTGAAAGAGAGACTGTGATTTAGTTTTATAGCCAGTGGCAAGATAAGCTAGCGAGCTAGCTACCAAGAGTGTAATAATTTATAGATGTAACGATATGAAAAAAAATAAACATGCTTTTACAAATGGAGTAGTTTTGGGCAGTACATAAGACAAAATGATTGGATCTGATGAAGATAATGAGACACATGAATGCGAAGTAAAACAAAGATAGTTCATGAATACAGGTTTAGGTTATATAAACACGTAGACAGAATTAGGCGAGATAAGCACTGAGACAGGTAAGGCAAAATGAACACACAGACAGGTTAAGGCGAGATAAAGACTTGGATTGGTTCAGGCAAACTATACACATAACATCTTCACGTGTGTTCAGTCCATTTTTCATTCCAATCGTGCATGTTCAAACACGCACCAGGCACGCAGGTGCACTGCGGACATCTATCACTTCCGCTTACGTAAGCTGTTTGGCATTTATCAGAGCAGAAGAAGTGGCCTTGACATTTGATGGAGGAGAGGGTCGCCGAGGTGGAATCTGACAGCATAAGAGAAAATAATGTTAACGTACGGCAAACGTACGACACATTTCTGATTAAATTATTATTTCCTCAAAGATGGAATGTTCATTTTCCTTTTAAGTAAATTAATTAAAACTAGTGCTAACTGTAACGGGGACCGTTACAGATGTTCCCCAAACGCTCCCCATCTCCCTTTTGGTGCCATATTCCCTGTAAGTTTCATTAAATAGGACAAACTTTATGCATTTGAGACTTTAACAACGTTTACCCAGAAGGGTACCAAGTTCATTCAAATTTTAGCATTGCACGCGTGCGCATGTGAATGCGTGTGCGTAATGACCATATCATCTTATCTACACAATCTATATACTTCAATATACTAAATATTTAATCCAAAAGTATTAAAAAATACGCTCATTCAAGTGTATTTTTGATTTTACTCATTCCACGTGCACGCACGTGCATACATGAGCATGGTGACATACCTACTTGTGAAAGTCCATTACATCTATCTATGTTCTAAATCCCACTCAGTTTGGTTGAAAACCAAGGGAGTTATAGCTGATTAAAGTTTCAGCCAATCAGATTGCAGCGTACGTTCACGCACGTGTATGGATGTGCATGGTGATCATACCTTCTTGAAGAAGTCCATTATATCTATCTATGTTCCAAATCTCATCCTGTTTGGTTGAAAACTAAGGGAGTTATAGCTATTTAAAGTTTCAGCCAATCAGATTGCAGCGCACGTACACGCACGCGTATGAATGTGCATTGTGACCATACCTTCTTGTAGAAGTCTATTATATCTATCTATGTTCCAAATTCCATTCTGTTTGGTTGA